ATCAGATTGTCTGATTACTACTCCTGCCACTTTTTATGCCTAACTGATGAGCTTATGAGAGGGGGAGGAAATTTGCCTTTTCTGACCACTCTACCTAAAGCAAGCTATCTTCCATCACTTTCTATCCTCCTAACTGGCTTTATTTTTCTTTCTAGTACTTATTACTGACATATATGTTATACGTATAGTCTCTTAAATTATTTGTATATTTATGTATAGACTTCTTCTACTATAATATAAATTCCATGAGAGTGGGAACTCTGTTTTGCTCTCGTAAGTCCAGTGCCTAGAAATCACCTTGCAAGGATTGCATGCCCAAGTAATATTAGTATAATATAATATAATGTATATAATAACCATAGCTATTGGATGGTGTTCAGTTATTAACAGGGAAAGGATTGCTGTTAAGTAATCCATTTGATGGCATTTAAAAATGCATGAATTAGTGTATATTTTATTGTGATGAGAGTAATTTAAAGCAGCAAAGTTGCAACTAAACAAAGGAAATGCAAAAATGCTACTCAAATCTAATCAATAGATCATGTTGATATTGTCATATCCCTCTTGTCATTATCAGATTGTTATTAACGACATCATTGGATGGTCAATTATAGTTATTGGGGCTGTAAGAAAATTTTATAGCTTGTTTGGATAAGTCCTCTTCTTTATGTTCTTATAAGAGTATAAAAATCGGTTCTCTCTTAGTCTGTCATTTAATAAGCCAATGACCTGGCACAAATCCTTTAATACTGCTGAGACTATCTGCTTCATCTGTAAACTATGAATAATAATAGAGGTCCTACCTGTCACACAGGGCTCAGAGCAAGGCTCCATTTTTCACAATGGCTCTCATTTTGAAAAGCACTCTGTAGTGGTGAGTGACAGTATGGTCTTGGGGACAGTGTAATGAAAATTGGGATTATTTTCTGTCCCTGGCATTTCCATGGTTGTGACACCCTCTTCAAATCAGCCCCAGAACTTAATTCAAAGGAGTGACATAATTGGAAATTTTTGCACTATTTGATCCAATAGTATTTCACCTGGTATGATAAAATATTAATCTAGTGACTCTCATTAGATAATTAGCATGGGCTGTATTATGCAGTATCCTGCAAGGGCCTAAGAGAATAGTCCACAGGACTTGCAAATTTGATGTGAAGACAGGCACTGAGAGAGTCCAGCTGAGGAAAAACCCTTGACATATCTAAGGATCAACTGAGTAGTTAGAAATCTTTATTCCAAATAGACAAAAATGTGAAAAAAACAATAAGGAAAAGAGAAAAATATGTGAAATTTATATTTCACATGTGGTTTGTGACTTTATTTCTGTATTATAAACAAGAGAGCATCCTATGAATCCTAAGAGAGAATTTTAGGGCACATAAAAGCATTTATGTGTTCTCACACTGCGTACTAGGGCTAAGATGTTCTTTACCACGAGAGTTGGTGAAGCATAAGAACAAATCCATTCACAAATGCTTTGGTAAACTATAATTTCTCACCTCCTAAATCATAGACCTATATCTACTATATACCTTTTTAAAGAACTATCGTATGAAGCAAATAATGTAGTTGATTTCAAATAACAAAAGTGATTGAATGTGTATGGTCAAGAGTTAAGTAATGTAATATGGGTAAATAAATTGATGAATTTGCGGATTCATTTATTTGGTGCATGTTTATTGAGTGGTCGCTACCGAGTGCCAGTTATCATTCCAGGAGCCTGCAAATTCAGCAGTGAATATGATAGACTCAGACCTTTGCACTCCAGGAGCTTATATTCTAGTTGATAAGGCAGACAATAAACGAAGTCAATAAGTAGGCCTTGTTTCAGAAAGAGTGTGACCCTGCTGATACTTTGTTTTCAGATTTCTAGCCTCTAGAATGGTGAGGTAATAATAACTTTCTGTTGTTTTAAACTACCTGGTGATAATTTGTTACAGCAGCCTGAGAAAACAAATACATTGAGTGACATGGAGAATTAAGTCATTGGAGGGTTTTAAGCTGAAAAGTGGTTTGGTCTGACATATTCACAGATAGTCACCCTAGCTGCAGAGATAAGAATAGTTGGAAGGCAAGGAGGCAGCTCAGAAGCAGAGAGAGTGGTTTGGACGCGATAGCAGCAAACCCAACAGGATAGTGGAGAGATGGAGGTGGTTTGGTTCAGGGCAGTAGTGATGGTGGTGAGAACGGAACATATTGTGAATATGTTTTGAACTAGTATTGATAATATATGCTAATTTGGTATGGAATGTAAAAATATGAGGGTAGTCAAATATGTAGCTAAGGTTTTTGGGTTTAATATCTGTAAGGATGGGGTATGTTAACTGAGATAGGGAAGATGCTAGGGATAAGGGGAGAATGGTAGAGGGAGATTAAGAGCTCTGTTTGGAATACGTTCGCTTTGAGACGTCTTTTATGCCTCCAAGCAGAGAAGAGAAGTGCATTGCTTGGTTTGAGTCTGGAGTCCAGAGAAGAGGTCTCAGCTGGAGATATAACTGATATGAGTTATGGAGAGAAATCATGATGTTTGGCAAAGATGTCCCTATGTTTTGAGATTAACATCAGGAAGGACAATAATGTACTTCTAAAATACGGTGTTCGGTGCCACCTAGATATACTGGGCCACATATCTGACCTGTGACAGTTCTGACATTCATTATAAGAACGATCCAGAAGGACAAGCCAGGAGATTGATTTTGTTTTCTCTCCTTGTGGCTTTTCTTCTCCTAAACTCCAACTTTTCATGTCATTAAAGCCTCCAAGATAAACAATCAGCCTAAGAGGAATATTCATTACCTTTTAGTGACTTTGAGTTTGACTCCCCTTTGTGAAAAATCCGACTCCGTTTGTATTTGTGTGAGTGATGTTTAAAAAGACCATACTGGCCACAGAATGTGAAGACTTCCATTATTCAACATTTTGGACTAAAGTCAGTCACTCCCTCAGATGTGGCCCGTTTGTTCACTAGCCTTGTTGTCAAAGAAGCGGTAACCGTGTTACGTGTAGGAGACGTCACCTAGCGTCCGTTTCAATCACATTTTTTTTATGTTTGTATCTAGAAAGATGCTTTCGCCTCAGAGAGCATGTCCTATGTGGAATTATTTACAGATATAATTATAAAATAATTATTTTTATCAACATCTTAAGAAAATGCCTGTACATCTATTGGGATGAGGGGAGGTCTGGCACTGCTTGCGGATGGAAAGGCAAGTTTGTCTACAATAATAATAAGAAATCCATTGTTACTGCAAAGCTTCCCAACAGCTCTTTTAAAAATGAAGCTGTCATTTTGATCTCCAGCTGCCTGGATCTTTGCCTGACTCTCACTGGATTTAAAACTCCGATAGGGAAGAGGAGCATGTTTATCAGTCCTTCCAGCCCCAGTACAAGCGCAGGAGGGAGAAAAACCTACCTTTTCTGAAATGGTTTGCCAATTCCCACCTACAAAGCTGTATCTACAGCCCTGATTTTCTTGCTCATTGCCAAGAAAAAAAAAATGATCTAATCTGACCCCATTTATTAAGGCCATATTGAACAACAAAAATGTTACTTGTGAAAATTCTTTTTCTAGGCATGAGGAATGGCTGTTCTAGACGGTGGATTTCTAATTTGCCCTCCTGAGGAATGGGCTTTGCCTGACAGATGACTAGATGGTATCCGTCATCTTAAGATTTTAAAAATCTAATTAAAGCCGTGCTATTTCTGGTTGTTTTATGTTTGTAATTTGGAGCATTGCTAAGCTGTCAAAATAGAGTGATCACCAAGATCATATGTAATATCCTTGCCTTAATATATTGGCTAGTGTGCATAGCTTTAATGATCTCAGAGAAGCTATCATATATGAAAACCGAAACACGCATTTAAATTCAACTTGCAGGGTGTCACCTGTAGAGTGTTTGCCGGGTCAGAGCACGATGGTGAGATGTCCTCATTTTACACCAGCAAGTCGTATGTGGTACCATTGTAGTCGGAGGTGACTATGTAGACCAATGTAGTCGGCGGTGAACCTCCGACTACGTTAGGTCTGACACAGCTCATCCATGCTGTGCCTGTTCTGATTGTAGTTCGCTTACTGTCTTAGGCAGTTAATGCCGTATTACCTTATCGATAACAACGCATCAGCTCCACTTCCTAACCTCCTATGCCAGTTCAATAACAGGTACTATTTGTTCATGTTGAACGGTTTCGTAAACGCGAACTCTCTCTGCCCTCCCTGAGGCTACACTTTGCTCAAATACGATTCCACATTTCATGCTATGTTCACGATGATTAAGCTTCTTTACATTAATTATGTCTGTGTAGATATTTAAACAGTATATTTCCTGTTTTCTAATTAAGCTTATCTCAAAAAAGCGTGCTGTCTTTATCAGTATCATCATCGTCACCTGGGTTGTGATGAAATTGGAAATGTTAGAAATGGAAATGATCAGGCCTGAGGTGAGGTTCAGGACTCTGTGTTTTAACAAACCCTCCAGGTGATTCTGATGTATGCAAACATTTGAGAATCACCGTTGTGGTTGTTGAATGATCAAAGAAATAGCATGGGCATGGATTATAGATATTATACAATGAAACTCAATTATTTCTTGATTTTTTGAAAGACAGTGCTTTGGGGAGCAGGTTCATCTTAGACTCATTAAATACATTCTGTTATTAAATATCAAAAAAAAATATTTTCTCGCATGAAGTTGTTATTGTAAGTCTTTTCCAAGGTGTGGACTCTGAGGCTATAAATTGAAAATTTCTCAAATATACTAAGAAATGATTCAACATCTCAGGAAATAGGTATCAAAGTGATTGGGAAACTTTTGCTCAATATACATTTGAAATGTTCATGAAAAACAGAAAACAATTGGTTTAAAACATTAAATTAGTTTCGATATTAAATAAGAGCCTATGACCAAAGTTATAACCATGAGCTAAACTCTAAGTTTAATGAGTTTTTTTTTTCCCTCCTGTCTCTTCTGCCCTTGCGTAATGGACATGACCCTTACCAGCTCTACCAATAATGGAAATAATGAGCCCTTCCATTGACTTTCGCCCTTTCAAAGCCATTTCATCTAATCCCCAACTCCGTCACAAAGGCTCTGTAAAATTGGTAGGTATTTGTGACTTTGGTTCTTCCTAGGGTTTGTTGCCCTCTGGTTTTGCATATGTGATACTTAAGAGTTCCAGTAACTCATTCAGAGGGCCATTTAGTACTTTGAAGCCTATTGTTTTTTAAAAAGAGGAATATATATATATATATATATATTTTTTTTTTTTTTTCTGCTAAAGGAAGACCGAGGCAGGAGAAGAATTGAAAGTAAATTGCCAATTTTAAAAGCACTTGGGAACTTTAAAACTGAAAAAGAGCAGGGTCATCCAGCCAGTGGGCTACAAGGGTGAGACTGTTGACACAGGCCCCGTGCCCCTCCCTGGTGCTGACTGCTTGCAGTTAGGCTCGCATTGTCTGCAGAAAAATCACCTTAGGGGAGTCTGGCTGCAACTGCTCCTGCTGTTTTGGCCTCCTGTGCCATATGATCTCTCCCAGGCCCCCTGGAATAATCAAAAACTTTCAATCTTATCTCACACTGTGAATAACTGAGTCTCATATGGTGGTAGTAATTAGGAAAAAATGACTCAAACACTTCCAAAATTTGCAAAGTGTTCACTGTCAGTTTGCGGACCCCTGCTCCGTAAGTGTTTTGGAATACTTTTTAAAGTAACTATTCTCTCTGGGTATTGGGCTGTGACAAGTTTTCTGTTTTTAGTCTGTTTTTGTTTGGTAAGACAACTTTGGAAGAATAGGGAGGAGTGGAGAAAAGGCCAAATTGATTGAGAAAACCTTGTAATGAACATAATTAAGTTTTATTAGTTTGAAAAAGTTAATGTTTTTTAACTATAAAAATGGCCATTTCAAGTTCTAGTATATTGGGAGAATAGGAGCTCTATTTAGACATTAAGATTATGCTATAGGATAAACAAATTCTATATATTCATTGTATACTTAATATTGTATCTTATCTGCATACCCACTACATTCATTTTTAAATTTAATGTTATAATGTAACATATTATCATCAACAAGGTAGCCAGTTCTTTTTCTTTCTCCATAAAGAACCAAAGAATAAATGAGCTTAATTATTATTAATACATTAGGCGATAATTAATAAGCAAAAATGCACCGATTATGAAGGTGATGTATTAACAGCACTGGCTACCAAGTTTAAGGGTTGCTAGAAATTTTGAGAAATTTCTTCAGGTTATGGTGAATAACATTTTCAGAGGGTTTTAGGAATTTTGTTCTTAGCGTCTCAGACTTGTTTGTGTAATTTTTATGTCTTTTCCAGATGTGATCCAAGGATTTAGAATTTGTTCATTTTCAATTAACTGGAAAAATCATTTTCAGCACCCACTAGATGATAATAATATTGGGAAATAAAGACTACACTAACTCTTAGGGAACTATGACAGGTATTTGGAAACATGCAGGAGACACTGTACTAGAGCTTCTCATCTTTAAAGCTTCAGTTCAAATGTCATGACCTGCATGAATGCTTCTCTGATTCCGAGAGGGTACTTTGTCTTTATCTCTGTGGTAACACTTACTGCATCTGAGCATTGAAAATTACCTGCTTTTGTCTACATCACCATCCTTCTAGCAGCCTTCTAGGGAAGGATATGTATCCGTGTCTGAGTGTTTCTTCGTCTTCGTCTTCTTCTTCTTCTTCTTCTTCTTCTTCTTCTTCTTCTTCTTCTTCTTCTTCTTCTTCTTCTTCTTCTTCTTCTTTCTTCTTCTTCTTCTTCTTTCTTCTCCTCCTCCTCCTCCACAAATTATAGTAGGTATGGCCTTTGATTCTTTAGAAAAATGTGTTAAAACATTTTTGTAATTATGATCTTAAATGCACATATAAACAGTCAATTAGACACACCATATAGGTGGGCATTGCTTGTGATGTTGAGCATAGGGTGCTAAAAGGTTATCATAGTCTCAGAACCCTCCAGAATTGGAAGTATTTTGGAGATGGCTTATTTCAGTTCTCCCTGATTCCCCCAGATAAAGAAGTGGAGGTTCAGAGAGGTTTAAATGACTGTCCTAGGATGTGAAGTTTGTCGGTGGCATGTTTTGTGCCCTTTATAACTTTTGAGTCAATGAGAAGGTAATTACAGTAGGCAAATGAATATCGTTAGGCCATTCAACATTGCTATATAAATAAATCTTTATTAATACATTTTTTACTTAAAACCAATGCTTTGCTCCACTTAAGTAGTTGTTCCTTGCTTAAGTATGCCTGTTTTATACTAGTGGCATCATACTATTGTTTTGGCTTTAAACGCAATAAAAATGGTTTAGACAGTGGGTTCTTAGTATGAAACTGAGTGTGTGCGACTATGCTCTGTATAGCTTCTTAGAAAATGCCTAAGATACAGTTTGTAACATCATCACAAAATAATCTATGCCATAGCCTAGGTAGGAAATATTAATAGTATTATGAGTATCAGAGCCATAGGAGTCCAACAGGGTGGACAAAGAGGGTTATCATTGCAAAGCTACAAGCTCAGCAGGGTGACTTTTCAAGTATATGGATGACACAGTTTTTTCCTTCCCCTGTGGACAAAGAGCTTGTCACCTCCTCAGCACCTCCATTCTCCCCTGCATGGGGTTGTGCAGCCCACGCTGACTTTCAAACCTTAACCAGCAAAAAAAAAAAATAATCCTTTTAGAAGTACCTTTTATTATGATTATTTTTGAGAGAAGCTTGCAAGCTGAAGTTAATAGTGAGTCACAATCGTTAACAGCTTACTATTTATTTTATATTAGAAATATGCGTTACCTTGGAAGAAAACTATGCACTTACATTATATTGGCTATACTTTTGTCTTTCTCCTCTGAATCAGTAATCATATAAGTTCAGTATTCATGAGGAAACAAATTTTCTCTTAATACTTTCTACTGAGAGTTTTGAGATTGAACATTTTTAGCAGCTTTCCAAATCCAAAATGAGTATCTTCCATAAATGTATTCACTTACTCATTCATTTTTTTTTTGAGGTCCAATAAGGTGCTAGATATTGCCATTTCACTGCTATGTATATGAGGCCTTGTAGGTATTTTATAAAGTTTGAGATGTTATGAATATTTCCATTAGAGGTTTTCAAATGGTTAATGTTTTCTTTTCTTCATTTATTACTATTTGATGTTTTTTTTTTCTTCCAAGGCTGCTTCGTGGATGGCATTTTGAACTTCCATCAGGGGGCACATAATGCCAGATTGCTCTTTCAGGGATGTCAGCAGCCACAGATGATCATTGCCTTGATCCATTAATTCGGCAGGCACTACAGAATTATAGTATTCTAATCACACAATTCTTTCTTCTTGTGTTGGTTGGATTGCTTTTATAACGGAAATCTGTCCTCATCAAATTTTGATTAACCTTAGGTACACCATCTAGGAGAAAAGCTGGATGCATGCTTTGTGTTTCCCCTTCATTTTCTAGTTTTCACAATAATGATTTGGTTCCCTACCATCTCTAACATCTTTTGCATGTGACCAAAGGGATATTTCTTTTTTTAAAATTTTTATTTCATGTCATCATAAACTGATGGGTTTAAATATATTTAATGTGTTTTAATTCAATGTATTTATTATCTTGTTGGTACTCAAACAGTTCCATCTGGCCCAGAGGGGGGCAAGATGAGAATCTATTAAAATGGGTTCTTCAGACAGACACTAGTAATCTTTGGTGGCTTCCTTACTTCCTAATATGACAAGACGTTCTAGGCTAATTCTGTACACATTTTGATCCAGACCAGAGCTCTGCCATTTCTCCAATGAAATGTGGTTTCTTTTGGTGAGAACTTGTATTTAGCAATAAAAATCTGGGTGCTAATTGTGTTCTTTGCCACTGAGTGGTCATACATATATGATCTACGTATTATCTACCTATCCTTCTGTCCTCCATCTATCTGATAAAACCCATGATGAGTTTATATTCATATTTCAAATTCAGATTTAGGACAACAGGATTTTTAATTAACCTTGTTCATCATACAGCACTGTCTCCTTTCTCCTAACACAAAACATTGTTTTTAGTGTCACCAACATAATTTGTCATTTGCTTTATCCCACCCTACAGCAACTGGAATATAATACCCATACTACCAACAATTGTATAATTACTAAAACTATTAACGTTTATTTTTCCAGTTATTTCGGTTCCTACTAAAGGATATATCTTACTAAGGATAGATAAGTAAATTACTATGTCTTAAATTGAATTGGAATAGTTTTTGTCTGTGCACTTTATGTCACTAACTTTATGTAGGTTTTACATTACTTTCAGTTTTTATTTTGTTTTATGATTAAGTGAAATATTTATATTTTTCTATGTAAAGTTTAAAAGACATTTATTCCAAGAAATTTAGTTTTTACCTTCCCACCCAACCCCATTCTCTTTCTGTCATTACATATAACCACCACTTAAAAAAAAATATATATATATATATTATTTATTCATCTATATTTTTAACATTAGAAATTGAGCACATATGTTGTTATTCTTCCTTTCATGGATAAATATTAGCACATTATATAGATCTACTCTTTGCTTTTTTATTTAACAATATATTCTGGAGATCTCTGCATAGTACTGTTTAGAGGAATTCCTCATTTCTTTTTAGCTACACAGTACTGCATCATGTGACTATACCATAGTTTATTCACCTATCCCCTATGTTGGATATTTGAGTTATTTCTAGATTTTTTTTCCATTACTTATAGAATGATAAATTTTAGAAAAATTACTATCCAAGAATACAATGAATAAAATCCACAACATAAGAAACTCCACAGGCAAATGACCTGAATCTTTTAATCACAGAAAACATAAATGCAAGGGAAAATTGCATATAGAGATATAGGTTAAAATATAATTAGGAGATATTTTGGCAGTTTTAATGTATATCCTTTATTTGGAATCCTCATTAAAACAAACTATTACAAAAGACAATTGCGGACTGTGTTTTTGATATTTCAGAATTCTTTTTAATGCCTTTAGGTGTAACATGGCATTGTCATTATATTACACATCATAGACATACATGCTAAATATCTACTGATGAAATTATACATTTGAGACTTGCTTCACAATAATCTAGGGAGGGTAAAAATTGGTGCCAATATAAATGAAACACGATTAATCCTGAATTGACAAAAGTGGAGGTTGGTGATAAATGTATAGTGGTTCATTACACTAATTTCTTTTATTTTGTACACATTTGAAATTACCTATAATAAAATGTTTTAAAAAATCAAGTTTAATATTTATTGGATAAATTGCTTTCCAGGAAAGGAGTTGTTTTATAATATTTGTATAGTGTAGTTTCTCTTTGGAAGGATTCTCATAGTCTATATTTAAGAAAATCATTGGCTTTTAAAACATAAGAATTTGGTTTAAGTGTTTTTGACATGCAGGAACTAGTCTATATTAGCTTCTTGATATTATAATAAATAAAAAGTATCATTTTGGGTGGTTGTTATGATAATACATAAAATGGAGAGGAAAAATTAATGATTCAGGACAATGGAAATAAGAATATAGATAAATTCTCAAGTAAAGTGTTTATAGATGTGTTTAATTTCAGTCATGATTTATGCTCCTACTGAAGGAAAAAAACATTTTTTTCTTTTTATTTCTTTTTGAAACAGTGTCTCCCTCTGTCACCCAAACTAGAATGAGTGGTGTGATCATAGTTCACAACAGCCTTGAATTCCTGGGTTCAAGTAATCCCCCTGCCTCAGCCTCCTGAGTAGCTAGGACTACAGGTATGTGCCACCACACTCAGCTGGTTTTTAAAATTTTTGTAGAGACGGGATCTTGCTTTTTTTGCCCAGGCAAGTCTTGAACTCCTGGGCTCAAGCAATCATTCAGCCTCAGCCTCCTCAAATGCTGAGATTACAGGATGAGCCAGTTCTGTGTAAAAAGGTCTTATGCCTTTGTCCAAATTCTGGAAGCCATGATGAGCCATACAGTGATGTGATTTAGGCCACTAAGAACTTCCAAGGAACCTACCCAGGGAGGTTGGATAAGGTAGTACAAATAATTAAGTAGATGTAATACTAGTATTTGAGAGGCTAGAAGATTTACAGTTTCAAAGGGCTTTAATAGAAAATCATAAGTCTAGAAATATTGGGAGGTGGCTTAATAACAGCAAACCTAGAATTTTAAATTAGGTTTCTATATGCAGAACATGTCGATTTCATTCTAAGCTGCTATATTTCTCACCTGGCCCATGGAAATGAACGCCAGAAGTCAAGCAGACCCTATAAATATGTAATTATAAAACATCAGTGTTTTAGAACTGTTTTTATAAAGTAAAAGCTAAAAAAAAAACAAAAAAACACCAGTAAGGTCCAGATGCTGAAATTATACCTGTTGAAATTATGTCTGTTGACGAGAGTAATCTAGCAGCTTCATATTTAATATCAATACTATATTCATATATTAACAAACATTTACAAATATTCATGGGCATATATTATGTGGCAGGCAGCTATTCAGATGCTAGAGGTACAGTGGTGAGCAAGAAAAACAAGGTCCTTTCTATAATTTTAATGTGAGTCTAATTTTGAAGTGTAAGATAGAGTTGGGGTGAACAAAGGCCATAAAGAAATAATAAATAAATGAGGTGATGATAGGTAAGAATGAGTGTTATGACTAGAATAGAGTGGAATAAATGACAAAGACTGATTGGTGGTGCATGTTGGGAAATTGCTTTAGGTAGAGGGTTCAAGCTTAATATCTCTGGGGGGTTTTGTTGGAGCCGGGATCTAATGAGATAAGGAACTTCCCATTTAAAGATGTGGGGAAGAAGGTTTTGAAGAGAGAGAAAGCGAGAGAGGCTTGGCAAATGTTATTGTGCCCTAGAACTTTTGGACTTGTTCTCCCTCTATCCATAAATAACTTGAGGTTGGAGGCTGCATAGGGCCCCGCATGAAGCCTTTTAGGATATAGTCAAGAGTACTTTTTTTCTTTAAAGTCCAAGGGACCCCACTGAAGAGTACTAAGACAAAGAGTAATCTGCACTCTCTTTTATTTTTCAGAGACCATATGGATTGCTGTGCAGAGAATGGATAGACTGAATCCAGCAAAAGCAGGGAAATGACACAAGAGGCCATTCCATTGACCAGGTGAGAAAGCATAGTAGCTTAGATTGAAATAGACACCTTCTGCATATATTTTGGAGATAGAGCCACAGGTATTTGTAAATTCATTTGATGGGGAAAAGGGGGAAATTGAGGCAGGGTCATACACATCTGTTTTATATTAAATCTTGTGGTGGAACTATTGGACAAACCAGTTGTCAGGTAGAATAAATATATATTTAATATTATAGTAGCAGTTATAGTTATGGAGAAGACATTTATCTACAATAAGTAAGGCAAGGTGGGAAAGTCACTGGTTTCCTTGAAGCTAATCTGAGCAATAGTGTCCCATTCCAATTGAATTTTAATTGCATTGTGTTTTAAAAAAATATTTCCACCATGTGCAAGACCCAGTTCTAGATGCTACAAATAGGATGCCATATAACAATCATTAATACTTTTAATATGACAGATGCTGATTTAAGCTGTGTTAACTCAGTTAATACGTACCACAAACTTTAGACATAAGTAGCATTATTACTCTTATTTTATTTTAATTTTGATTTTTAGTTATTATGACTACATAATAGTTGTATATTGTTTTAGGGTAGTACTGGTATTTTGGTACACCACTTTGTTTGCGAGGATATATATTAAGAAGTGAAATTACTTGCTTGAGGTCAATGCAATTTTTGTTTCAAATAATACTGTCATGTTGCCATTTAAAGTGCCTGATACAATTTATATTCCTTCTTTAATATGTGAATAGCCCTTTTGCCCACAAGACTATAAACAATTGCTTTTATTAATTGTTTAAAGTTTGCTAAGATTAATGGGATTCATGTATAATCTGAATTCTTAGTTATATTTTCCTTTTCACTTCCCTGTGTTTAGGAATTTATCTGTGTTTTACTTTCATTTAATTTAAGATATGAATCTAATTTTATATTATAATATAATAACTTTTTATATTATAATTGTAGCCTTCTTGACATTTATTGAACTGTTTATCCCTCATTGGTTTTGGTATTTTATGTTGGTTTATATTATGTCATATATTAAAAATACATATACACACATACACATATGCATACACACATATAAGTATTTCTGGACTTCTTTATTCTAATAAACTGCTTGTTAAGTTATGCACAAATATCCTACACTATTAATTTCCATAGCCTTATGATATATTGCTATCCAGCAGAACAAGTTAACCTTCTTTGTTCTTTTTTTAAACTGTTTTTCATTGTGAGTCTTCAGCTTCTATATGAATGAATTTTGAAAACTACTGAATCCCTAAAAATCTTGATGGAGACTACAATATAGATGAATTAAGGAAGAACTGATATTTTGATCTTGAAAATGTTGAGATTTGATCTTGAAAATGTTGAGATTTGATCTTGATAATGTTGAGATTTCCCAAACATAATAAAGGTTTCCATTTATTTGGTCTTTTAATGTGCCCTGTACTAATATCTTGAAACTTTCTCCATAATGGGACACTAAAATTGCTAGGAAGTTTAGGTCATTTGTTTGCTGAATACTTAAGGCTTTCTGTTACTCATGTGAAAGGTGAAAGGATGGCCTTGCTAACAAAATAACAGAGAAATAAATTTCAAACCCCCAGCCTCTTAGAAATGGCATGAACTCTAGGACTAGATGCCTGAGTATGTCTCCTACAGAGATGATCACCTAGCAATTAAAAGAAGCTGAGAAAACAAAAGAAAGCATAAATTCTCATTAACATTCACATTCCAGAGTTAGAAGAGTCTCCAGGAGAGGGGAAAAAGGGTAAACTGTCCCATTGGCTGTCATTAACATTCACTACCTATGGACTAAAAGAGTTTTTTTTAGTTTTTTTGAAAAACCTTTGAAGAGTTACTGAGCAGACGGTGGGGGTGTGAGCTTCCCACCTTATCAAGGCACCAGATGCCTCCCGTTATCAATCTATGGCCAAGAAGAAAGAAAAGGCCAATTCCTGTTATCAATCTGCTACTGAGAGAAACAGAAAAAGGTGAACACAGCAGTTTCACAGCTGTTTCCTGTTAATTGGGACATAGCCATAAATTTTCTTTTACTTTCCTTAATAAAGCACCGAAACAGCCTGGCTTGAGGGCCAACACACCTTTTTCTTCCTTTCTGGTGTTGTGCCCTTTCTCTTAGGAGAAAGTGATAAACTTTGTACATCTTTCTGTCCTTTGTCTGAGAAATCTTTTCTCTTCCTTTCTCACACCCTTTCAAAAGGAATCTATAAGCATTATAGTTCTTAGTATTATATTTTCTAACTTGCTGTTGCTATTAGTGGGGGGAATTGTTGATTTTGTTTTTAACCTTGTATCTGTCTAGTTTTGATCAAGTATATACCTATTCTGTCTTGAGTAGGAAAACTAAAAGACAAGCCTATCAAAAATATCTACAACAACTTTTTGAGAGTTAGGTAGTATAAAAAGTTATAGATGGAAAAGCAAAAAGTTAAAAAGCTAGGGGCGATAGAGTTAAAGGATAGAATTTCAGTTAGATTCTCCTTTGCTTATGTATTTGTTTGTTTGTTTGTAAACAGAATCATGTTTAAAATAATTGATTATAAAATATTTTTGCAAGCCTCATAATAACCTCAAATCAAAACACCTATAATAGATACACAAAAAATTAAAAGCAAAAAATTAAACACACTACCAGAGAAAATCTCTTTTTTTTTAATCTTTTTTTTTGCTATCATTTCTCACCTGGCCCATGAAATAACGCCAAAGTCAACCAGACCCTATGAAATATGTAATAGTAAAACAATCTTTCATGTTTTAGAACTTTTTTATAAAGTAAAGCTAAAAAAAAACCCAAAAACACAAGTAAGTCCAGATGCTGGATATACTGTTGAAATATGCTGTGACGAGAGTAAGCTAAGCAGCTTCATTTTAATATCAATACTATTTCATATATTAACAAACATTACAACCATATCATGGCCATATATTATGGCAGGCAGCTTTTCAGATGCCTAGAGGTACAAGGTGAGCAAGACAAAAACAAGGTTCTTTCTATAATTAATGTGAGTCTGATTTTAAGTGTAAGAATAGAGTTGGTGGAGTGAACAAAGGCCATAAAGAAATAATAAATTAAATGAGTGTGATAGTTAAGAATGCATGTTACTGACTAGATAGAGTGGAATAAATGACAGGGACTGATTGTGTGCATGTTGGGAAATTGCTTTAGTAGAGGTGTCAAGCTTAATATCTGCTGGGGGGTTTCTGTTGAGCGCAGAGTCAATGAGATAAGGAATTTCCCATGTAAAGATGTGGCGGAAGAAGGTTTTGAAAGAGAGAGAAAGCGAGGAGAGCTTGGCAAATGTTATTGCCCCTAGAACTCTTTGGACTTGTTCTCCCTCTATCCATAAAAACTGAGGTTGGAGGCTGCACAGGCCCACATGAAGCCTTTTAGAATAGTCAAAGAGTACTTTTTTCTTAAAGTCCGAGGACCCCACTGAAGAGTTACTAAGACCAAAAGTAAATCTGCACTCTGCCCTTTTATTTTTCAGAGACCATATGGATTGCTGTGCCAGCGGGAATGGATAGACGAATCAGCAAAAGCAGGGAGATGACACAAGAGGCGCTTCCATTGACCCAGGTGAGAAAAGCATGGTACTAGATTTGAAATAGACAACCTTCGCTGCATATATTTGAGATAGAGCCAAAGGTATTTGTAAATTCATTGATGGGAAAAGGGGAAATTGAGGCAGGGTCAACACATCATATTTTATATTAAAATCTGTGGTGGAATTATGGACAAACCATAGGCTAATTCTGTACACATTTTGATCCAGACCAGAGCTCTGCCATTTCTCCAATGAAATGTGGTTTCTTTTGGTGAGAACTTGTATTTAGCAATAAAAATCTGGGTGCTAATTGTGTTCTTTGCTACTGAGTGGTCATACATATATGATCTACGTATTATCTACCTATCCTTCTGTCCTCCATCTATCTGATAAAACCCATGATGAGTTTATATTCATATTTCAAATTCAGATTTAGGACAATAGGATTTTTAATTAACCTTGTTCGTCTTACAGCACTGTCTCCTTTCTCCTAATACAAAACATTGTTTTTAGTGTCACCAACATAATTTGTCATTTGCTTTATCCCACCCTACAGCAACTGGAATATAATACCCATACTACCAACAATTGTATAATTACTAAAACTATTAACGTTTATTTTTCCAGTTATTTCGGTTCCTACTAAAGGATATATCTTACTAAGGATAGATAAGTAAATTACTATGTCTTAAATTGAATTGGAATAGTTTTTGTCTGTGCACTTTATGTCACTAACTTTATGTAGGTTTTACATTACTTTCAGTTTTTATTTTGTTTTATGATTAAGTGAAATATTTATATTTTTCTATGTAAAGTTTAAAAGACATTTATTCCAAGAAATTTAGTTTTTACCTTCCCACCCAACCCCATTCTCTTTCTGTCATTACATATAACCACCACTTAAAAAAAAATATATATATATATATTATTTATTCATCTATATTTTTAACATTAGAAATTGAGCACATATGTTGTTATTCTTCCTTTCATGGATAAATATTAGCACATTATATAGATCTACTCTTTGCTTTTTTATTTAACAATATATTCTGGAGATCTCTGCATAGTACTGTTTAGAGGAATTCCTCATTTCTTTTTAGCTACACAGTACTGCATCATGTGACTATACCATAGTTTATTCACCTATCCCCTATGTTGGATATTTGAGTTATTTCTAGATTTTTTTTCCATTACTTATAGAATGATAAATTTTAGAAAAATTACTATCCAAGAATACAATGAATAAAATCCACAACATAAGAAACTCCACAGGCAAATGACCTGAATCTTTTAATCACAGAAAACATAAATGCAAGGGAAAATTGCATATAGAGATATAGGTTAAAATATAATTAGGAGATATTTTGGCAGTTTTAATGTATATCCTTTATTTGGAATCCTCATTAAAACAAACTATTACAAAAGACAATTGCGGACTGTGATTTTGATATTTCAGAATTCTTTTTAATGCCTTTAGGTGTAACATGGCATTGTCATTATATTACACATCATAGACATACATGCTAAATATCTACTGATGAAATTGTACATTTGAGACTTGCTTCACAATAATCTAGGGAGGGTAAAAATTGGTGCCAATATAAATGAAACACGATTAATCCTGAATTGACAAAAGTGGAGGTTGGTGATAAATGTATAGTGGTTCATTACACTAATTTCTTTTATTTTGTACACATTTGAAATTACCTATAATAAAATGTTTTAAAAAATCAAGTTTAATATTTATTGGATATTGCTTTCCAGGAAAGGAGTTGTTTTATAATATTTGTATAGTGTAGTTTCTCTTTGGAAGGATTCTCATAGTCTATATTTAAGAAAATCATTGGCTTTTAAAACATAAGAATTTGGTTTAAGTGTTTTTTACATGCAGGAACTAGTCTATATTAGCTTCTTGATATTATAATAAATAAAAAGTATCATTTAGGGTGGTTGTTATGATAATACATAAAATGGAGAGGAAAAATTAATGATTCAGGACAATGGAAATAAGAATATAGATAAATTCTCAAGTAAAGTGTTTAATTTCAGTCATGATTTATGCTCCTACTGAAGGAAAAAAACATTTTTTTCTTTTTATTTCTTTTCTTTTTTTTTTTTTTTTTGAAACAGTGTCTTCCTCTGTCACCCAAACTAGAATGAGTGGTGTGATCATAGTTCACAACAGCCTTGAATTCCTGGGTTCAAGTAATCCCCCTGCCTCAGCCTCCTGAGTAGCTAGGACTACAGGTATGCGCCACCACACTCAGCTGGTTTTTAAAATTTTTGTAGAGACGGGATCTTGCTTTTTTTGCCAAGGCAAGTCTTGAACTCCTGGGCTCAAGCAATCCTTCAGCCTCAGCCTCCTCAAATGCTGAGATTACAGGATGAGCCAGTTCTGTGTAAAAAGGTCTTATGCCTTTGTCCAAATTCTGGAAGCCATGATGAGCCATACAGTGATGTGATTTAGGCCACTAAGAACTTCCAAGGAACCTACCCAGGGAGGTTGGATAAGGTAGTACAAATAATTAAGTAGATGTAATACTAGTATTTGAGAGGCTAGAAGGTTTCAAAGGGCTTTAATAGAAAATCATAAGTCTAGAAATATTGGGAGGTGGCTTAATAACAGCAAACCTAGAATTTTAAATTAGGTTTCTATATGCAGAACATGTCGATTTCATTCTAAGCTGCTATATTTCTCACCTGGCCCATGGAAATGAACGCCAGAAGTCAAGCAGACCCTATAAATATGTAATTATAAAACATCTTTTCAGTGTTTTAGAACTTTTATTATAAAGTAAAAGCTAAAAAAAAAAAAAAAAAACACCAGTAAGGTCCAGATGCTGAAATTATACCTGTTGAAATTATGTCTGTTGATGAGAGTAATCTAGCAGCTTCATATTTAATATCAACACTATATTCATGTATTAACAAACATTTACAAATATTCATGGGCATATATTATGTGGCAGGCAGCTATTCAGATGCTAGAGGTACAGTGGTGAGCAAGAAAAACAAGGTCCTTTCTATAATTTTAATGTGAGTCTAATTTTGAAGTGTAAGATAGAGTTGGGGTGAACAAAGGCCATAAAGAAATAATAAATAAATGAGGTGATGATAGGTAAGAATGAGTGTTATGACTAGAATAGAGTGGAATAAATGACAAAGACTGATTGGTGGTGCATGTTGGGAAATTGCTTTAGGTAGAGGGTTCAAGCTTAATATCTCTGGGGGGTTTTGTTGGAGCCGGGATCTAATGAGATAAGGAACTTCCCATTTAAAGATGTGGGGAAGAAGGTTTTGAAGAGAGAGAAAGCGAGAGAGGCTTGGCAAATGTTATTGTGCCCTAGAACTTTTGGACTTGTTCTCCCTCTATCCATAAATAACTTGAGGTTGGAGGCTGCATAGGGCCCCCGCATGAAGCCTTTTAGGATATAGTCAAGAGTACTTTTTTTCTTTAAAGTCCAAGGGACCCCACTGAAGAGTACTAAGACAAAGAGTAATCTGCACTCTCTTTTATTTTTCAGAGACCATATGGATTGCTGTGCAGAGAATGGATAGACTGAATCCAGCAAAAGCAGGGAGATGACACAAGAGGCCATTCCATTGACCAGGTGAGAAAGCATAGTAGCTTAGATTGAAATAGACACCTTCTGCATATATTTTGGAGATAGAGCCAAAGGTATTTGTAAATTCATTTGATGGGGAAAAGGGGGAAATTGAGGCAGGGTCATACACATCTGTTTTATATTAAATCTTGTGGTGGAACTATTGGACAAACCAGTTGTCAGGTAGAATAAATATATATTTAATATTATAGTAGCAGTTATAGTTATGGAAAAGACATTTATCTACAATAAGTAAAGCAAGGTGGGAATGTCTCTGGTTTCCTTGAAGCTAATCTGAGCAATAGTGTCCCATTCCAATTGAATTTTAATTACATTCTTTTAAAAAAATATTTCCACCATGTGTAAGACCCAGTTCTAGATGCTACAAATAGGATGCCATATAACAATCATTAATACTTTTAATATGACAGATGCTGATTTAAGCTGTGTTAACTCAGTTAATACGTACCACAAACTTTAGACATAAGTAGCATTATTACTCTTATTTTATTTTAATTTTGATTTTTAGTTATTATGACTACATAATAGTTGTATATTGTTTTAGGGTAGTACTGGTATTTTGGTACACCACTTTGTTTGCGAGGATATATATTAAGAAGTGAAATTACTTGCTTGAGGTCAATGCAATTTTTGTTTCAAATAATACTGTCATGTTGCCATTTAAAGTGCCTGATACAATTTATATTCCTTCTTTAATATGTGAATAGCCCTTTTGCCCACAAGACTATAAACAATTGCTTTTATTAATTGTTTAAAGTTTGCTAAGATTAATGGGATTCATGTATAATCTGAATTCTTAGTTATATTTTCCTTTTCACTTCCCTGTGTTTAGGAATTTATCTGTGTTTTACTTTCATTTAATTTAAGATATGAATCTAATTTTATATTATAATATAATAACTTTTTATATTATAATTGTAGCCTTCTTGACATTTATTGAACTGTTTATCCCTCATTGGTTTTGGTATTTTATGTTGGTTTATATTATGTCATATATTAAAAATACATATACACACATACACATATGCATACACACATATAAGTATTTCTGGACTTCTTTATTCTAATAAACTGCTTGTTAAGTTATGCACAAATATCCTACACTATTAATTTCCATAGCCTTATGATATATTGCTATCCAGCAGAACAAGTTAACCTTCTTTGTTCTTTTTTTAAACTGTTTTTCATTGTGAGTCTTCAGCTTCTATATGAATGAATTTTGAAAACTACTGAATCCCTAAAAATCTTGATGGAGACTACAATATAGATGAATTAAGGAAGAACTGATATTTTGATCTTGAAAATGTTGAGATTTGATCTTGAAAATGTTGAGATTTGATCTTGATAATGTTGAGATTTCCCAAACATAATAAAGGTTTCCATTTATTTGGTCTTTTAATGTGCCCTGTACTAATATCTTGAAACTTTCTCCATAATGGGACACTAAAATTGCTAGGAAGTTTAGGTCATTTGTTTGCTGAATACTTAAGGCTTTCTGTTACTCATGTGAAAGGTGAAAGGATGGCCTTGCTAACAAAATAACAGAGAAATAAATTTCAAACCCCCAGCCTCTTAGAAATGGCATGAACTCTAGGACTAGATGCCTGAGTATGTCTCCTACAGAGATGATCACCTAGCAATTAAAAGAAGCTGAGAAAACAAAAGAAAGCATAAATTCTCATTAACATTCACATTCCAGAGTTAGAAGAGTCTCCAGGAGAGGGGAAAAAGGGTAAACTGTCCCATTGGCTGTCATTAACATTCACTACCTATGGACTAAAAGAGTTTTTTTTAGTTTTTTTGAAAAACCTTTGAAGAGTTACTGAGCAGACGGTGGGGGTGTGAGCTTCCCACCTTATCAAGGCACCAGATGCCTCCCGTTATCAATCTATGGCCAAGAAGAAAGAAAAGGCCAATTCCTGTTATCAATCTGCTACTGAGAGAAACAGAAAAAGGTGAACACAGCAGTTTCACAGCTGTTTCCTGTTAATTGGGACATAGCCATAAATTTTCTTTTACTTTCCTTAATAAAGCACCGAAACAGCCTGGCTTGAGGGCCAACACACCTTTTTCTTCCTTTCTGGTGTTGTGCCCTTTCTCTTAGGAGAAAGTGATAAACTTTGTACATCTTTCTGTCCTTTGTCTGAGAAATCTTTTCTCTTCCTTTCTCACACCCTTTCAAAAGGAATCTATAAGCATTATAGTTCTTAGTATTATATTTTCTAACTTGCTGTTGCTATTAGTGGGGGGAATTGTTGATTTTGTTTTTAACCTTGTATCTGTCTAGTTTTGATCAAGTATATACCTATTCTGTCTTGAGTAGGAAAACTAAAAGACAAGCCTATCAAAAATATCTACAACAACTTTTTGAGAGTTAGGTAGTATAAAAAGTTATAGATGGAAAAGCAAAAAGTTAAAAAGCTAGGGGCGATAGAGTTAAAGGATAGAATTTCAGTTAGATTCTCCTTTGCTTATGTATTTGTTTGTTTGTTTGTAAACAGAATCATGTTTAAAATAATTGATTATAAAATATTTTTGCAAGCCTTATAATAACCTCAAATCAAAACACCTATAATAGATACACAAAAAATTAAAAGCAAAAAATTAAACACACTACCAGAGAAAATCTCTTTTTTTTTAATCTTTTTTTTTTCATTTCAGCATATTATGAGGGTACAGATTTTAAGGTTTCAATAAATTCCCTTTCCCCCCTTCCCCCCACAAATCTGAGTCTCCAGCAAGGAAGGCAGGAAGGAAGGAAGAAAGAAAGAAAAAGAGGACCACAAAACAACCAGATTTCAAATGATAAGATGGCAGTAGTAAGTTCTTACTTGTCAGTAATAACATGCAATGTGAATGAATTAACTCTCCAGTCAAAAGAAATAGAGCAGCTGAATGGATTGAATAAAAACCAACTATATGTTGTCTGGAGAAGACACACTTTACCTATAAAGACACACATAAACTGAAAATAAAGGGATGGAAAAAGATATTTCATGCAAATGGAAATCAAAAAATAGCAGAAGTAACTATACTTCCATCAGCTAAAAAAGATTTCAAGAAAAAAAAAAAACAGTAACAAGAGACAAAGAAGGTAATTATGTAATGAGAAAGGGGTCAATTCATCAAGAGGATATAACAATCCTACTTGTATATGCACCCAGTTGTGGAGCACCCAGGTAGATAAAGGTAATATTGTCAATACTGAAGGGAGACATAGGCCTCAATACAGTGATTGTCAGAGACTTCAACACGACTTTCAGCACTGGACAGAGCATCTACAGAAAATCAGTACAGAAACATTGGACTTGCTCTGCTGTTTTTTGTTGTTTTTTTTTTAAATAGAATGAATGTACTTATGTTACTTGAATAATTAATTTTAAAATGATGGTAAAAGTAACTATAATCTCATCATTCATTCATTTAATCATTAAACTAACATTAATAGCTACATAGTTTCAATTGTTTGAATATATAATTTATTTAACTATTAATAATCCTCTATTCTTAATCACTACTAATTCATTTAATATTACACACAGAACCAAGAAAAGCATTGATGTGCACATATCTTTGCACAATATTCCAATGATTTTTTTTTCTACAAGCACAATTGTTGAGTCAAATCATATGCAAATATTGAAGATATTTCCAGTTTGCCTTCTAAAAATGTTGTATCAATTTAAACTCCCACTGGGAGTTTAAGAGAGTTAGCTTATCGTTGTAATTACAGAAATCATAAAAATTTTATGTATTTTTAAAGGTTTCAGCATCTAGCAGCATCCAGCTCATAGTAGATATTCCAAAAATACTTGTGTAAGAAATGAGTGCATGGAATAATTTACCAATTTTAAATGCAAAAATTGTAGCTTCCTGTAAATGAGTTTTCCCTTTAAATAGTGACAAAATCATCTATAGATACTTCTTATTATAACTATAAAAGTTTTTTTTATTTCTTCTGTGAATTTTCTCATCATGTTCTCTGCTCATTAAAATAAAATCACACTCTACTTTTTTCACTTCTGTTATGATAAAACTATTAACTTCCTGTCTGTTACAGAATTTGCTAATCTTTCTTCTCAGTTTTCATTTGACGTTTTCTTTTTCATTTGACATTTAAATTTTGTTTGAAATATTTTTACATAAAATGATTTTCATTTTTGTGTAATCAAGATATAACAATTCTGATACATGTTCCAATATTACTATTCTTGTTTTTTGGTCAGTAAGTACTTTCCAATATGAAATTAGATTTTATCAGTTGTCTGATACAAGCTACTTTCTTTGCAACTAATATTTTAACTAAACATTTCATTGTATTTCATAATGTACAATTCAAATTATGTTTTGCAATTAGCCTCATGGGCAAACGAAATTTGTTGAGTAAAATTTTCTTCCTCCTGTGATCTGAAGGATGTTCAAGTACCCCACATATTAGGAAGTGTACCTGGGTTTTTTCTTTTCTTGTATTGTTTTCTTGACTGTTATAATTTAGCAGTCTCAACTTCCTTTAACAATTATAGCATGATAAGATATTTAAGTATCTGGCAGTGATAATCCAAACAATCTTGCCATTTCAATTAACTTTTGAAATATTTTAGAAAATTCCATAAAACAAAGTCTGCATTGTTATTTGTCATTTCCCATTTTTCTTCATAAATAAATCCCAAGCACTACATCTTCAAGTCTAATGTATTCTTTTTGATACATTCTGGGTAAAGTAGAATTGAAAACATGGATATCTAACCAACAATTACTGCCTCCCCACTCCCCTTCCCAAATTGCTAACTAAGAGATTATAAAGGAGAAGGAAACTGGGAATTGGCGAGGTAGGGCAGGAGTGGTATTTATTTGTGAGACACTTTCAGGAGATTAGAGATAGCCCAGATGAGGCAGAATTGGGGAGACTCAGTCCTACCATGTGAAGTAGTAATGTAATCAGGACAAGAGTAGAAGCAGAAAATTAACTGGAGAAGGCTGCCACC